AGTTTGCTTACCCTTGCTCTAAAAAAAAAAAAAATGCCCAAAACCACAATAAAAAACGCTCCAAAACCGCGCTGGGGGGGATTCGGATTGTGCGGAGGTGTGAATGGGGCCATAGGCCTCATTCACACGAGAAACGGCCAGCACGTATAGCTCCGTGCACAGCCGTATCGGGCAGCTCCCGGGAAGGACAGGTGCTGCGTGCGATTAGTACGCAGCCCCTGTCCTTCCCCATGAGAGTAGGCGGCCTACGCTGCACTCACCTCAGGTGCAGGTCCGTACGGGTGCGGTTGTCCCGGCTCGGGCGCAGACAGGATCCATCCTGTCAGTGTACGAGTACGGACACCAGCTCCCACACATACGTGCAGGGCGGTGTACGGCCTTGTACTCCCATAGAGAAGGACAGGGGCTGCGTACTAATCGCACGCAGCACACACAGCACCTGTCCTTCCCGGGAGCTGGCCGATACGGCCGTGCGCGCAGCACGGAGTTGCACGTTCTGGCCGTTTCTCGTGTGGATGAGGCCTAACTGTTCCAACTGTCTATACATTGTAACTTCCTAGCAGTCAGTATCGGCATGGATGAGTAGCGGAGAATCTGCGTACGCCGAGTCAGAAACATTCATAAATATTTATTGTTTCCCATCTGTGATTGTTTGTTGATACTTTTGAGGAGAAAACATTTTCATATTTAAGAAACCGTTTGGACTCCTGATTAGAAACATTTCATAAAGCAATCTGGGGTGTGAGCTGTTCAAAGCCTTCCCTTGTCACACGGCATTGGGTTGGGTACTGGGGCAGTGACCACGGATGCTCCGATGAACCACCAATGGGGACACCAGTTCCGGTGACAGTGTGTAAAGGTCACCGTACACTTTATTCGTACAATCAACTTTAGATTTACCAAAAGTATGTAATATGAGGACGTACCTAATCTATCCAATCAATGTATATCCAATCAGGCCGGCCCTTCTACTACATAGTTGTTGGTAGGCCCACAGGAGATTGTGCAATCAGAATGCAACACGTCGGGAATCCCCCTCACCAAGCTCAGAGTTATATTTGCTTCCTGTTACATCTCTGGGACAGGAAGTGAAGGGAAATGTCTCCAATATGAAGCCCGGTGCCTCAGAATGAGGGAAACCAGGATGAGGATGGTAGCTGTGAAGATTTCATCTTTACACAATGGCAGCTCCCATATTTCCAGCCTCACAGGATCACTACATAGCAGCTGGACGCGGGCCGATTCTTCCCTGACATTACAAAAACACACGTATGTGACGGTCACAGGGAATACCTGCAAGGAAGAAGACTTGTCTGCTATAATCTCGAGGACAAATCATTTCTTAAAGCAGCTGGGGGTCAATGTGGACCCAACATTAACGTTACAGATCAGCAGAAATACATTCCTATCATATCACAGCAATAGTATCATTTGTTTTCAGAAAAGCTCCACCTTTTAGCAGGAAAAAGCCATCCTGGAGCTCCAGTCAGTGACTTTGCCTGGGCTGAGATGATGTCATCAATCAGCTGCAGGAAGGAGGAAGCATTTCTTCAGTCTCCTCCAGTGATCAGTCTTCTGCAGGCAGGAAGAAGCATTTCCTCAGTCTCCTCCTCAGTGATCAGTCTGCTGCAGGCAGGAGGGAGCATTTCCTCAGTCTCCTCTCCCCCAGTGATCAGTCTGCTGCAGGCAGGAGGGAGCATTTCCTCAGTCTCCTCTCCCCCAGTGATCAGTCTGCTGCAGGCAGCAGGAAGCATTTCCTCAGTCTCCTCTCCCCCCAGTGATCAGTCTGCTGCAGGCAGGAGGAAGCATTTCCTCAGTCTCCTCTCCCCCAGTGATCAGTCTGCTGCAGGCAGGAGGAAGCATTTCTGAACCGACATCTCAGTTTAGGGGGTAGATGGTGACCCTGGAGGATGGCCGAACAAAGATAGTGCTGTCCTTCAGGAGAGAAAAGCGGATGGCAGCATTGTCAGGGGGTCTCATGTGACCTCTGTGTGAGGTCCTGAATACCTGGAAGTGTTACACTGACATTACTCAGCATGCACAACTTTGAACCTATATGATGGACAACACCGATGCCCTGAGCCACAGAGCTTACAATCTAACCTGCAATTTCCAGGATGAAGTGGTGCGGCGGCACAATGAACAAGGCCTGTAATCCCATAATTGCTATAATCACCCCACAAAACGGCGATTACAGCGCAAAATCATTAGTGTGTCAAATCACCTAATTATCTAACCGAGTTCCATCCGGCGTATTGTTATTTAAATGTCTGACTGAGCGAAACCCTGCATGCCGTACAGAGCGCCAACGCGTGGCTCGTATTCCGAGTGGTGTCAGCAGCAGCGTGTCCTTGCACAGGTGATAGTCAGACCCCGAGAATGTAAATGTACGCACTCGTCTATTGCCCCCATTGAACGCAGACATGTTGGGAACACAACACACAAAATGCATAGCCAGCCAATGAGCCGGGACCGGTGACATCACTCAGATACATGGCGGGATCACCGGAGTATTGTCAGCAGCAACTACAGATGTATCCTCGGCACCATCACATACACATATAAAAAGCCACGGAGTGCCAGACGTGTACAACAGCACGAAAACCGACATGAAATAATCAGACACGTATAGTAATATAGATCCAGGACCATCAGACACGTATAGTAATATAGATCCAGGACCATCAGACACGTATAGTAATATAGATCCAGGACTATATACACCGAGCAGCCAAAACAGAGGCGTGTAATAACATACTATACAATAATAGTAATATAGATCCAGGACCATCAGACACGTATAGTAATATAGATCCAGGACTATATACACCGAGCAGCCAAAACAGAGGCGTGTAATAACATACTATACAATGAGCAGCTATAGTGGCCTGTACAGTAATATAAACCAGCCTGGTATATACCCGATAGTGGGTTTGTAGTAACATACTGTACACCAGGCATCCCTAGCACCCCAAAAAACAGACATGTATTGTACAATAAGGTGCAGACAGCTATAGCAGCCTATAGAGCAGAAACATATATAGTAGTATGTTATAGAGAAGACATCTATAGGACACATGGAGTGACACATGGAGCATCCTATGGAGAAGACATCTATAGGACACATGGAGCGACACATGGAGCATCCTATGGAGAAGACATCTATAGGACACATGGAGCGAAACATGGAGAAGACATCTATAGGACACATGGAGCGAAACATGGAGAAGACATCTATAGGACACATGGAGCGACACATGGAGCATCCTAAGGAGAAGACATCTATAGGACACATGGAGCATCCTATGGAGAAGACATCTATAGATCACATGGAGCGAAACATGGAGCATCCTATGTAGAAGACATCTATAGGACACATGGAGCGACACATGGAGCATCCTATGGAGAAGACATCTATAGGACACATGGAGCGACACATGGAGCATCCTAAGGAGAAGACATCTATAGGACACATGGAGCATCCTATGGAGAAGACATCTATAGATCACATGGAGCGAAACATGGAGCATCCTATGTAGAAGACATCTATAGGACACATGGAGCGACACATGGAGCATCCTATGGAGAAAACATCTATAGGACACATGGAGCATCCTATGAAGAAGACATCTATAGGACACATGGAGCGACACATGGAGCATCCTATGGAGAAAACATCTATAGGACACATGGAGCATCCTATGAAGAAGACATCTATAGGACACATGGAGCAAAACATGGAGCATCCTATGGAGAAGACATCTATAGGACACATGGAGCGACACATGGAGCATCCTATGGAGAAGACATCTATAGGGCACATGGAGCGACACTTGGAGAATGACATCTATAGGACACATGGAGAAGACATCTATAGGACACATGGAGAAGACATCTATAGGACACATGGAGCGACACATGGAGAAAACATCTATAGGACACACGGAGCATCCTATGGAGAAGACATCTAGGCACCCTATAGAGACATCACATGTAGTGCCCTATAGAGAAGACACGTGTAGCTCTCTATAGAGTAGGCATAATATGCACCCTATAGAAAAGGAACCTATAGAGGAAACACCAATAGAGCCATATGGAACAGACATGTATTGCACCCTATGAAGCAGATACATACACCACCCTATGAATCAGACATGCATGATGCCATTTAAAAGCAGACACATACAGCATATCACCCTTATGATCAGACACCTATAGCGCCTTGTGGATCAGACATGTATGACACCCTATAGTTCAAACACGTATCATACCCTATAGAGCACACGTATGACACCCTATTGATCAGACACCTATGACAACCTATAGAGCAGACATGTAGGACACCCTATAGAGCAGACACGTGTGAAACCCTATAGAGCAGACACGTGTGACACCCTATAGAGCAGACACGTGTGACACCCTATAGAGCAGACACGTGTGACACCCTATAGAGCGGACACGTGTGACACCCTATAGAGCGGACATGTGTGACACCCTATAGAGCAGACACGTAGGGCACCCTATAGAGCAGACACATGTGACACCCTATAGAGCAGACACGTATGACACCCTATAGAGCAGACACGTAGGGCACCCTATAGAGCAGACATGTATGGCACCCTATAGATCAGGCACAGATATCACCCCATTGACTTATAGGATGCCATAGGGGTGAGATTTCTTCCCCTCTCAGGTCTCTGTATGGAGAAGGAAATCCCAACTTGCGGCATTGTAGATGTCCCTCCTCTTATCATCAGGGACCCCACAATGTGCCCACCGGGTCCGGTGCCATCTCCTGTATACAATGTATCTGATGGCAGATCAGGGTGTGTAGGTCGGGTGTATGATCACACCTCCAGCCATTGATACATTGTATCCCCCATTCTGCAGCGCTGTGATCTGTGCAGCCCCCCTCCCCTTCTCTGATCGGGGGTGCGGAGACCCCTCTGCCAGTGCTGGCATCTCCCCCCTAACACTCCATGAACCCCCCCGGATCTCACCCTTGGTCACCACGGATGCCCCGGGCTGGATGTGCAGGACGAGGCAGATGATGGTGAGGAGGGTGGAGGGTGCCCCCGGCTCCATGTCCCGGTGTAGCGGTCAGCGGGGAGGGGGAGGCGGCATCCCGGGGCCGCTTCTACCGCTGCTGCTGCTGCTGCGGCTCCTCTCCGCTCCGGAGACACCCAGCGGACGGACCGGGATCTGCAGCGCCCCTCTCCGGGGACACCCAGTGGATGGCTATGGAACTGCAACTCCTCTCCGCTCTTACTTTATTTCTATAGTGGAAGAGGTGGGGAGCTTCTAGCGGCCAGCCTAGGAACTGCAGCTACTTTCCGCTCCCTTCTGTATAGCGGAGGACAAGGGGATCACCCATCGGCCAGACACGGAACTGCAGCTCTCTGTATCCTCTGTATTAAAACTAGGGTGACACCCAGCGGGCAGAAGTGGAACTGCAAAGGGAGCAAGCGCTGGGTACCAGGGGTACAGAGGATGTAATTTAAAGGATGATGTCATGTATACGGGGGTGTAGTCGTGTGTAATAGGAAAATAAAGTAGAGTGATGTGCAATGCATACATGGGTATATGATTTGAAACGTTGTATGAAAGCATAATGTATTGGGAAGGGCGCGGTGTAGTGTGTGAAGGAATGTAACATTTAGTGTATTGGGGGAGGGCTCGCTATGTATAGAGGTGTAGTGTACTGTATACATAGTGTACTGTATAGAATTATAATGTATAAATGTGTAGTGCACTGTATCTGTACTGTAGCATATTGAATTGTAATATATAGAGGGTGTTGTATATAGGGGATTTAGTGCATGGCAGATGTAATGTATATGGAATGTAGCATGTAGGGCTGGAGCCTCCAAACTTTTAAACAAGGGGGCAAGTACACTGTCCTCAAGACTTTAGGATGGGAGTTGGTGGGAGTGCAGAATGTGGCCTTTGGGTGTAGGAAATGCCCTGGGGTCATTGGTGGTGGTCAGTGGAAGTAAAAAATTACCTAGTGCCTGTGGTCGGTGAGGACAGGACTAATGCCCCAATATTGTTGTCAGCATCAGAAATTGTGCCCCATTTTAAATGCATGTAAAGGGACTGAATCTAGCCCATGGGCCACAGTGTGGGGACCATTGGTGTAGGGCCTACACCAATGGATCCCAAACTGGGGCCCATGGGCCAGATTCAGTCCCTTTGCATGCATTTATCTGACCCTTGGGGAACAATTCCTCTTACTGACACCAACAATGGGGCACAATTCCTGCCCACATCCATTGGTGTAGGGCGTACTATTTTGGGGGTGTCGTGTATAGGGGGCATACTGTACAGGGGTGTAGTGTGTGAAGGGTGTAGTGTATAGAGGGTGTATTGTATGGGGGATCTAGTGTATGGATTGATCTGCTGGATATGGAATGGGGGCTTATGGGGGATTCTGATATAAAATGGGGAATTTCATGGGAGAAGCAAGTGGGCTTTGAGAGCAGAGCTCCGGCTGCATCCATATATTACAATAGGGGTGAGTGGGGAAGGGTCATACAAATATTTTGCAGATTAGATATTACCTGCGGATGGGCCTATCAGTTATAGAGCAACTGTTCATGTAGTAGAGCTATATGATCATTGTGTATCTGATCAGCCCATATATTGAATATATTATTGTGCCCTGTTGTCTCCCCCTGCTATGAGTATAGTTGCAGAGGTGGCCCGTTAATGTTTCATGATACCGGTTGTATCACATTCCCTGGCCGGCAGCAGCCTGTGAAATATTGATGAGATTTCTCACAGCGGAATGTGAGACGTCAGCCAAATCTCCTCCACCACAGACCATCGCCAGTGATATGGTGCTGCCCACAGAGCACCCAGAGAGAGCTGATAGCTTGTTCTACTAGAGTGAAGGTCTCACGCCATACAATCATTTTCCAATCTAAACACAATTTTCGGGCTACCAAATGTTAATTCTTTCCTAGCAGTGTTGTCACCCACCTTTCTTGCTTTTGTGATTAATTACTTTTTCTTTTAAATCATTTACAGTAGATGTAAACCAAATCACCAGCATCTCATATAATATTTAACATGTTAATGTTATTTTAAAAGTCATTTTCAACCTTTCAGACTCCTGGGGATCCTGCTATGAAGGTCCTTGTGCAGTCTATTTCTTTTACAGGATGACAACGCTCTGTTCTCTACTCCTGTTTGTACTTCTGTGTTGTCAACCAGCCACACGGGCTTCCAGTTGTGACTAATGCCACATTACACAGCCATAGTCAGCTGTTGGAAACCCGCCCTGGGAAATGTCAAACATCCATCCCTGGGGTGCATGCAGTGGTGTATTTTGGTTTTGTGCTGCCCTAGGCAAGACTAAACTCGGGCACCCCCATCAATCTAAATTTGCCCCACCAATTCCTGTTTAGGACATTTTGCGCAACCAGTCAGTTACTGGATACAGCACACATGGGGTCTCAGGACAGCTGTGCATGGTCTCTGGTGGGCTGTACAGGGTTTCAGGGGTGCTGTGCAGGGTTTATGGTGGGCTGTGTGCGGTCTATGGTGGGCTGTGCGGGGTCCCTTTCCCTGATACATGTGCGGTTCCTCTTACCTGCAGCTCAAAGTGCCATTAGTACCAACGGGATACATTGCAGTCTCCCAGCCTGCTTCTGGGACATCCCGCCATCAGATCACATGCTACGGCCAGCCCTGAGCCACCTGCTGCTTCTTCTCCACCTCCTGTACAAAGCCAGCTGGACCGCATCTCACTGGGCCCTCCCCTCCACTGGGAAGCTCTCTAATTAGGCAGCTGCTCTTAGGGCCTTGTGGGCGTCTGGTTTGCCTCATTAGGCAGCCGCCGCTGTGCCGCCCAGCCTCGGCCCACCGGGCAAGTGCCAAGTATGCCCAAAGTTAAGTCTGGCTCTTTGCAGAAACTGCCAACCCCCTGGAAAGTGCCGCCCTAGGCAAATGCCTAGTTTGCCTTGGGGTAGATACACCCCTGGGTGCATGTAGATACGAAGTGGCTGCAAATAGGCCGTGGGACCTGCCATGAGATGTAACAGTGTGTAGAGAGCTTCATGGAATGAGTTTCCATGGCCGAGCAGCTGCATCCAAGCCTTACATCACCAAGTGCAATGCAAAGCGTCGGATGCCGGGGTGTAAAGCACGCCGCCACTGTACTCTGGAGAAGTGGAGACGTGTACCCCCCCTGGGATGTCATCGCGCGTGCGCGACATCATTACGCATGCGTGTGATGTCACAAGCTCCTAACTGCCGGCGGCCATCTTGGTGATGGACGTTTGGACATTCACTCGGCAGGATATGGTATGCCACTGGGTCCCCTCCATTCTAGTGTAGCTGTCAGGCTCTTGGTCTATGACAGTTACTGTTACTATCTATTACTGTCAGTCATTTTGGTGTCACCTCCCTCTGATGAAGTCACCCGGTGCAGACAGACCCCCAGACAGGCCACTGTCATCCAGTTAGGGTTTACGTCTGTATTTACGTCAATTTTTTCAGTATGTTTGGCAATGTGGCATTAGACTTCACTCCTTGCAGTTTTCTTAAGCAATTTTTTTTTTCATGGTGAATTTGTGGTAAAGTTTCTTACCTGGACATTCTGCCAGTAACACCACTTCCTCTTGCAGGCTGACAACCCTAAGCCACTGTGTCACAAAACACAGCGGCGTTGTCAGCCTGCCATGTCACAACGCCTGTAGATGGCAGTTGGGCTCCTTACCTGGTACTTTACCTGATAGGCAGCGCATAGATGAACTAAAGGAGCACACAGGGCTGGCTGGCAAAGCCTTTGTGCTGTGCTCATGCCAGGTGCATTAGATGCTGCCAGTGATAATCATTAATAATATAATTAGCCATGGTGTCACCATAGAAGGTGAGGGAAATGAACACAGAATTAGCCTTACTATAGACTTAAAGGTTCCAGGGTTTGGAATTGGGAAAAGTGACAATTTTTGGACCTTATTTTGTCTGCACTACAATGTAGGAATTCTTCTGCTGCCCCCCTGCTGGCCGTTAACTGCCTCAACACCATGGAGTGGCAGAGACTTATTATACCTACACACCTAACCTTCTTTCTTGTCCCCCTCCCCCCCTAATGAGATTTCCCTGCAGTAGTTTGTGTCTCTGCCCCTCCCAGTTCACTGCAGTAGTTTGTGTCTCTGCCCCTCCCACAATGGTGAGATTTCCCCCAGTAGTTTGTGTCTCTGCCCCTCCCACAATGATGAGATTTCCCCCAGTACTTGGGGTCTCTGCCCCTCCCACAATGGTAAGAGTTCCCTGCAGTAGTTTGTGTCTCTGCCCCTCCCACAATGGTGAGATTTCCCCCAGTAGTTTGTGTCTCTGCCCCTCCCACAATGATGAGATTTCCCCCAGTACTTGGGGTCTCTGCCCCTCCCACAATGGTAAGAGTTCACTGCAGTAGTTTGTGTCTTTGCCCCTCCCACAATGGTGAGATTTCCCTGCAGTATTTTGTGCCTCTGCCCCTCCCACAATGGTGAGATTTCCCTGCAGTATTTGTGTCTCTGCCCCTCCCCACAATGATATTTTCCCCCAGTACTTTGGGTCTCTGCCCCTCCCACAATTATGAGATTTCCCCCCAGTACTTTGGGTCTCTGCCCCTCCCACAATGGTGAGATTTCCCTGCAGTAGTTTGAGTCTCTGCCCCTCCCACAATGGTGAGATTTCCCCCCAGTAATTTGTGTCTCTGCCCCTCCCACAATGACATTTCCCCCAGTAGTTTGGGTCTCTGCCCCTCCCACAATGGTGAGATTTCCCTGCAGTAGTTTGTATGACACCGTCACCTATTGGGGTAGAATTGGAGACACTAATGAGGAATCTCGGGAGTCCCTGCGATATACAAGAAGCCAGCTTGTGATTCCATTTACCAGCAATAATCTAATATGAACATACTGTATATCAGTTTTGGGCGTTGATGGTTATTCACATCCTGGGCGGAGTCCATGCCTAAACAACAAATTCTCTGTGGACAAAAAAAAATTCACACCTCATTTTTCTCACAAATTACAGGTCCTTTATTCCCTTTTTGTTAACCTCATCAGCACTGAAGGGGTTAAACTCACGGACATGTACGGTCATACACATAACTACGCGCCAACACTTGGGATTTTGTGTTTTATTTTGAACCCTTCTTGACAACTCTGAGTC